GTGAGAGACCAAGAAATCTAATAAATAAAACCAACTGGGGAGGAGAGATGGGCTGCCTCCAGTATAAACCACAGTGCAAAAGATTCACGCAGCAAACATTGGTTAAAGACTACAGCCAGGGAAGCATTGGGATGGCTGCCTTGCTACTCTGATATGAGGGTTTGGGGAGGGGAGAAGGGGAAGGGCTGAACATAAAAAGCAATCTAAAAATGGGTTATTAAAATGCATGGTATGGTGGGAGGAGAAGGAAAGAGATAGAAAAGGCTTGGAAATGGAAGAGAAAAAAGCATCGAAAGGCATAGTTGAGGGGATATAAAAGTTGGGGAGAGCAACAGAAAATCCAGGGATGGGCTGCCCCCCCCCGGCTCCTGCAGAGGTAGCCCCATAGCCAACTTGATCCCCTCACAGCATTTCGGGCGGGGGAGGGGCCTGATTTTAAAACGTGTTCTCCTTCCTGCTTTTCCTAGTCGTTAAAAGAAGCCCAGCGCCACAGAGCCCAACCCCCAGGGATGCCTCTTGCCTGCCCGAAGAAGCAGGGAAGAGAAGGGAAAGGAGCTCACAAACACACACTGCAGGCATTTCTTTCTCTTTTCCCCTGCTCACTGGGAAATCGGAGTGGAACCCCCTCCCTCCCTCTCACACACACATACGAGCTGAAGGGGGGGGGACAATCGATTCTCCCCCTCTTACCCACGATGATGTGCTGGCAGCGGGAGGGAAAAGAGCAGAATGCCATCGCTCTTTTGCCTCTTGAGTCCCCGAGGAGGGGGGGAGGAAGGGGGAGCAGAGGAGGGGGGAGGAGGCCCGCAAAACCCATGGGGGGGCCACGCAGGCTACGGGCCTGCGAGGCCCTTTTCCCTGACAAGTGTCAATAATACATATTAAGAGACAACCTAACCTGGCTTTCATTTGAAATTCCACAATGAGCCATAATTAGACACTTTTGGATTGCATCACCACTTTCACGAGGTGGCTAACTTTCAAAGGCAAATTTAGCAATCCATGCTAAAAGCCAATAAAGGCCCTAGCTCTAACTAACAGTATGAAATAATGAAATAAAGAAATAATTTCTAGTATCCCGCCATTAAGGACGTTCACTGAAGCATATTTTCTGGCCACTGAAGGAAACAAGTTAATTGAACTATGAATTCATTGTGAATGTTTCTGTACCCGCCACCATGTGCAACGTTCCTATTTTAGAGCACCTTCCCATCGTACTTTATTATGTACTTGGTAAGAGTATTGAATTGATACGTAGTGTCTGCACCCTAATCTCACTGCTCTTTTATCTAAAGTCACAGAGCAATTTAAAATGGCTCTTCTTACCCTATAAATACTTATAGTATGCTCTGGAACTCTAGAGTAAAGGATTTTCACGGCAGTCATTTCCTTTCGACAGAACCCATGTGATAGACTACGGGACAAAAGAGATAGCAAGGGGAAGCAGTGATAAAAAAGGAACAGGAGGGAAACAGGGCATGAATAAGCAGGGAGGAGAATTTAATATGGATGCCAGCCTCCAGGTGGGATCTGGGGACCCCCCAGAATTACAGCTCATCTCCAGACTACAGAGACCAATTCCCCTGGAGAAAATGGATGCTTTTGAGGGCCGACTGTATGGCACTGTACCCCACTGAGGTCCCTTTCCTCCTTAGGCTGCATCCTCAAGTGGCCAGGAGCGTCTCATCCTGACAACCCTACTCCCCATCCCCCGGTGGTGGCCGAGGGGACTTGGCAAACCCTAAGGAGAAAGGGTCCTTCAGAATACCTGATTGACCACATTAATTCACATTGTAGCGTGACGTACGTGAGATGTGAAAACCTTGAGGCAGAGGAGCAGATCCCCTGCAAACCTTTTCCATTTTGCAGTCGACAGTTCAGTTGCTTACACAGTTAGAGGAGCCCAGTTCCAGGGCTCTAGTCGGGGGGGAGCTCTCAGGTACGGAGCTCCGGAAGAGAACCTCTAGGGGGCGGGGCGGTCACGTGGTGAAGCCCCGCCCCCTTCTTTACCCCGCCCTCTGCTTCGATCCTCATTCCGTTTGGGAATGAGGATGAAGCAGGAGGGTAAGTAGCCGGGCCTTCTGACACACTTCCGGTGATGTCAGGGGGTGTGGCCTTCTGTCACTTCCGGTGATGTCAGGGGGCGTGGCATATGCAAATAAGTTATGCTAATGAGTTATGCTAATGAGCTCCGGCAGCTCTTTTTCTACAACAAGACCCCTGCCCAGTTCATTAAGAAACCTATGGTAACAGACCCAAACAAATGCATTGCTCGAAATGGGTTGCTTCTTACTTCTGTGGGGAAGCGATCGTCCTCAAAATCACTTTTAATTCTGGCAGGGGTGTCCTTTGAATATGGGCCATTTTTCTTTGAGTTCAAGAGAGGAAAATCTATCAAAAGAAAAAGTACATTAAAACATGATAGCCCCCCAAAACCATTTTTTTCTCTCTGAAAAATCTTGCAAATGTTATTTCGCTGCCCATATTAGCAGCATATGCAAATGGTCACAAAACCACAAATCAAAATGCTGAACAGCCTGACTCTGAGTGCTTCAAAACTCGCCCCCCCATTCAAAAACCAAATTTACAGACAACTTGGTGTTAAAAACAAAGCCCCCAAGCTGAGATGCTTAGAAGGGGAAACAATATAGTCCATAAATAGTATAACGTGCCAAGCTGAAGTACGGAAAGAGTTTTCAAAGTTGAACTAAATACCCGCTCCAGATTAAACTATAGCAATAAATAATTTCAAATATCTAAATCTGGTAAGAGTAAGGAGGGGGGATGGGGGGAGTGACAAGACATGCAGTCTAATCAATCCAGTTTAACCAGCTAAATACCAATGTCAAGCCGGAAAGAAGGACCAAATTACTTGTTACAGGGGCCACTGAGTAGAGCAGCAGTATTGATGGAGGAATCATTTTCTCTGCTTCCTTTCCCCAATCTGGATGACTACCTCCTCAAACTGTTGCTTGCCCCATGGGGGGTGGGGGCTCACACACAGAGGCTCACACATCTCTGCTTGCAGATGGAAATGATATAATTTGTTGGACTAGTGGGGTAAAATAGTAGCTTTCAGGGCTATTTTTGGGCAGGAATACACAGGAACGGCGTTCCGTCTGGCTTCAGAGTTCGCCATGCCCACTACAGCCACCTCTGCAGGGAAGGCCTGGAGAGTGACCCCCCCGGCAACTCTGAGGCGGGCGGCCCAGGGGGGGCTCTGGAAGGATCGGGGAGGCATTTAAATGTGGGGTGCCTGGGCAAGCCAAGGGAAGGGCTTGCCCGGGGTCCTCCCAGTCGTGGGGGGGCCGGGCAAGCCAAGGGAAGGCATGGGGTGTGGCTTAATATGCTAACAAGCTGCACTGTCAGGCGTGGCCTAATATGCTAATGAGTTTCTGATGTTGGGTGTGGCCTATTATGCTAATGTACCTGCTGGGCTTTTTCTACCAAAAAAGCCCTTGTAGCTTTGGAGGAGGTGTGATTTTGATCTGGAAAACTGCACAGGGCAAAGGTTTAAACGTGCCCCCCCACCCCCTCTGTGGTGAACTCAGAATTGTTCCTCCCCCTGAAGCTGCCTGAAAATTAAAACAAAAACATTGGTCGACCTACTCCTAGAGTAGGGCAGAGTAGAGAGTGTGGGAGCACCACAACTTGCAGTCTGGGGAAGGGCAACAGCTTAATGGTAGAATGCCTTTATTGGAAGGAAAATACAGTATAAAAGTCATTTTGTGGGCATCTCAATGCAGTATTATTATAATTTTTTAAAGACCCCCGGAGGGGTTTTTTTTAATATAATACTACATAAACTACAAAGAAAAGAAAAAGGGAAGGGGAACTACAACTAAGGAGAAAGGAAAGTAATCCACACTAAACTAAAAACCCAAGAGTAGGAGATCATTACCCTGTTAGACTACAGTTAGTAATGGAAAAAAAACTGTTAATAAACAATATAATTTGTGAGATCCTGTCTTTCTAAGCTTATGTGTTAGTTTATTACTTGTTATGAGAAGATTTCCAGAGCATCTCCTCTAGCTCTCTTCGTAGGGCAATTTTCAGAGTCCTTCCGCCTTTACATCTATGCTAATTCTCTCTAAAGTCTTGATGGCTTCTTAGACGTTCACTCGAAATTCTGCAACCCTCCTCTGTCTCCAAAGGGATAACACCACCAATCTTAAGCCTCTTCCTTCTTGGTCTCATCCTCAGGGCCCAGTGGCATCTCCAGGCTTCTTGATCTTGAGGTCAGGTTCAAGCTCTTTTCTATCAACCGAATTTAAGACGACACTTTCTAAAAACATCTGCCGGGAAGGAGTTAAGTCCTTGTAAATCTTTTCTGTTTCTCTCATGCTTTCCCTCCTTGTCTCTTTGAAATCGCTGTTAGTCAATGCAGTATTATTGAGGTCTACAAGTTGACCCACAGTTCATTGCCACCTTTGGACTACAATCTTCTCATGGAAGTGGATTTCTCTTAATGCTGAGGAAAGACAGTCTACACGCAAATAACACTGACTGACCAGAATGAATGGAGGCAGGCTGATCATTAGTTATCTGGTTTTCTAACCAAACACTCAGCATTTTCACCGCTCTGTTCTTTCACACCAGCCTCTGCACAATGGAATCCCAGGCCATTCTCTTCCCTGTGTTGACTGAATGGCTGAGCTCTGCTCCTGGTGGCGCCAATTAAGCTCAGCAGGAGAGAAGAGCTGCAGCCATCAATGACCTTTTATTTCAAACATAACAGAGGGAAAGCTTTTGTTCCCCGCAACACAGGAGACAATATTTATTTCAATATGGATTCTCAGATCACATAGCTTAATACTGAATTTGTATTTTTGTCAACAGAAGTAAGTGCTGGAAATATTTATACAGTTTAGGACAAAGCACATTTACCAATATACACATGATTACAGTCCAATGCAGCTAGAAAGCAAGAAAAGTTACTCTAACTGGATGTCTGTGTCCTCAACGAACACAATGCAGCCTGAATCCTTGATTGGGGAGTGGAGCTATTCGCAATTGTACAATCTATATATCTAATTCCCAAGGCGCCCCCTGTGTAAGCAGGGGGTAACTGGCAACTTGAAGCCTGGCGCGACACCAGGGTCTGAAGCTCCCGATTGTCATGCCTGCCCCTGCTGATGTCATGCCTGCCTTTGCTGATGCCCCTGAACAGGCTCCTGAGGACCCTGAACAGGCTCCTGAGGACAGTACTGCAGCAGAAAGGCAAAGACTGGATCCTGTAGCTGAAAGCTATCTAAGTGGTGAGGAGGATAGAGCCTCCCAGGGAACACCTGCAAGGGATCAGTCTCTGCTGCAGCCCAGTAATTCATCATCAGACTCGCCTCCACCTGTAACCAGGCTCAGGAATGTAAGAAGACAACAGCTGAGAGAGCGAAGGCAGAATGCACGCATGCGTGCCAGAAGATCTCTTAGCCCTGATTACTGACAGGATCCTGTCCTCACTCCTGGCTAGCTAATGAGTTGATTAGCTAGCACTGTATATATGCAAGTCTGTTGCCAGCAGTCATTTGTGCTGGCAACGTCGTTTGTTCAGGACCTGAATCCTTGCATCTCTGCTCCAGACCTTGTGGAATTCTTCTCGGCTTGATCCTCGGCTTTTGACCTTTGGCTTTGTTGACCCTGCGTTCATCTCTGACTCCTCTGGTATTGTTGTGATTTATGGACTTGAAACTTTGGTATGTCTGACCCTGCTTTTGGACTGTGATTTAAACCTGCTTGAACCTTGCTACCTGATTTGCCCGGCTTGACCTCGGACTGTTCCTGGACTTTTGCTTGCTTGTGTCACGCCCCCTGGTCCTGCCGTGACAGGCCGGCTGGTGGCTGTAAGCCGCTCAGCCCTTGCCACCGCCCGGGGGGGGGAGGTAGAAAGTTTGGCAGGCCAGCGAGGCTTTGCTGCCACCACCACTGAGGGGGAAGGGGGGAGGAGAAAGCTTGGCGGGCTGGCAAAGCCTCGCTGCTGATGCTGCCGCCACTGCCAGGGGGGAAGGAGGGAGAAAGTTTGGTGGGCTAGGAAAGCCTCGCCACCGCTAGGGGAGGGGGGAAGCTTGGAGGGGCATGGGCCTCACCGTGGGTGCCAGGGACTGGGGGGACAGGAAAGAAGGCTCACCTGTGGCTGCTTCCTTCTCCCATGGAGCTTCTCCCCCCCCCACGAGTATTGCGGGTCCCCCTTCTTGTTCTACACTAACTCTACCATTGGTGTCTTTTGAAACAACCCTTTCCCCTACATTTAATACAGCAGCATGGATGCGCTTCAAATACTTTGTAGATCTGCAAAAGATGGGGATCATGTCTTATGAGTACCCTGAGGTGAAAACTGAACTCTCTCTGCTAAAATTTCTTTTGGTGGAATAAAAAAAAAAGCAACTCAGAGTTATACAGCTAGTAAGTGTTGGAAGACAAGGACTTTTATGCGGTCTTCTACTTCAGCCTTCAGAGTTAGAGTGATAGAGAGGCCTTTCCTTTCCTTTCTGTTTCTCTGAAGATGTTCTTTGAAGTGTAGAATGCTAATCTCAGGGTGAACTGCCTTTCTTCCACTTTTTTTTGCCCCCCCCCCCCCCCCAAGGGGCGTTTTTA